TGCCCATCTCAAGACATTCCGCTCGCAGATTTGAGGTTCTGGATTCCAGGTTTGGAGTTTTCCAATGTTAGTGTAAACAGAACTGGCGCACACACACATTAAGATGAATGTAATTATTATTCCTCTTGCTGGTCACTACCGTCGCTTTCTATTTCTCTTTCTTTGTGTGAATTTATTTAAAAGAAAAAAAAACTTTTTGTAACGACTATTTGCAGTTTAAAATCAATAAACCCCGTTTTTCAAGAAACTGATCGTGAGGCTGGTCTTTCCTTGGTTTGCGGTTTGACTTTGCCAAGAGAGGGTTCGCCTGCTGTACTTTGCTTGGTAGGAGGGGCAGTGGTTGGCCTCTTCTGGCACTTGACAGCTGAACCTGTAGCTCCCTTTGGTGAGCTTTAGTGGGGATGGAGGGGTCTGCGGGTGGAGGTTGGTTGGTTGGTTGGTTTTTTCTTTGCAAAGGAATCTACTTCCTGCTCTATTGCTTCAGTGAACCACAGCTCAGGGCCATCCACAGCAGTTTCTGGTTAACCTGTGGTCTTCACTCCTTTGGGCAGTGGTTGGGTACCCAAAATGCTGGAAAGAGCCCATGACACACCAGCAAGTCTGGCTTAGAGCAAGTTCTTCTGTTTAGATGCTTCAGGCTCATTTTCCCCACAGTTGTTAACCAAGTCTTAAGCTCTCAACAGCTCCCTGGGAGGGTGTGAGGAAGCATTGCAGGCCTGGTGAGGGGCTCAGTCACATACCTGGGTTGGTGTCTGATTTGGAGGGCTATTGAAGAGAGTTATTAGCATCGACCAACAATAGGAAGTTGCCAGTAGCTCCCACCACCTTAACCCTAGTTACACCGGCCTTGCTAGACAAAGCATGGTAGCATGGTGTGGTGAAGGGTTTCCCTTGGTTAGAAGCACCCCAGCCAGGACCAGATGACCACGAAAAAGTGATGTTTTACCTGTAAGGGGGAGTTGGACTTCTCTTTTGGGGAGACAGAGAAACTGCTGATTTGAGTTGCCTTTGGTTCCTTGCACTCAGGAGGTTTGGGAGGGCTAAGCCGAATTTCCCCCTTGATTCCACTAGGCCTTTCTCAAAGGCCTGTGGCCAACATGGTTCAGGCCAGCTGTCCCCAAGATTCTGCAGCTCTGCATCCTCTGGACTCTTACCTCTTTGGTCAGCAGGTATTACTGGGGAGCAGGAGTGAGAGGTAGGAACTAGGAACTACTTCCCGTTCCAGGATAGGGGCTGGTGGTGCAGGGAGAGGACAAGTAGCCCTTCCTGGGACCAGAGTGAACCTAGGCCTGTTGCACCCTAAGGAGGGAATGAGGGGTGTGTGTGTGTGTTTGGCGGGGGGGGGGGGGGGGTTGATCTTTCTCTGACTAAAAGTAAAAACATTTAATCTTAGTTCTTAGTTTACCTTGCGCCCATTTCCTGCAGGCACATGTTAGTGAGTGGCAGATATCTTTCTAATTCCCCCTCTTGTGACACTGGTTGGGTTTTAGGGGGTGTCTAGGCCAGTTAGTTAGATAACAAAGATTGAGGCACTGACTCCGAAGGCCCTGGAGGGGTGAAGCTGGCTGTAAAGGCAAGGGGAGGCTCCCCCATCCCCTGGGGAAGCTGGCTGTCTGCAGGCCTTAACCCTAACCCTTCCTAAGTGTCTTCATGAAGAACATACAGGGTGGAATTAGGCTACCCAGGCCCAGAGCCTGATTCCTACCATCTAGATCTTAAAAGGGAAAGGAAATAGTAGAATCCTTTCAGGGCCATTATTTTCCCCTCCACAGCAGCCCTGTGCTCTAGGCCCGAAGTCCAGGGAGGTGTGGCCCAGAGCTGGCAGGAGACCTGTGACTCTGAGCTCCTCCCCAGCTGGGGAGGATAGGAACCATGCCCAGGGAGCTGAAGAGGAGGCCCACACTAAGGGGAATGTTGTGCAAGGGCCAGATCCTGCTTTGTTGGCCACTTTCCTGGGTCCAAAGCCTCCTTTCCACCCTCTGCCCAGGACCCTGGGGGATCTCTGGTTTTAGGGGCCTGCGTGAAGACTCCCCTGGGTGGACAAGGCCTCTGGCTGCTGGTTGTGTGACCCATGGTCTGGCTGTTGGCCATTGGTCAGTGACTTACCCTTCCTGACCTAGAGGCCTCGTTGGCAGGAGGAAGGTGGGTGCCTACTAGACCTCAGTGGCCCTCTGGGGAAAGGATGGCCTCTGAGGGCCAAAGAGAATCTGGGGCTGACTTAAACTGGGCTTTGAAGTCAATTGGATCATGACGTCCTGGCAACTGAAGTGGAGGGAGGGTCACCACAGGAAGAAGGAAGGATCCATGGCTTGAAAGAAGAGGTGCTGGAGCCTGGGACCAGGGCTCAAGTCCCAGCTCTTGTTATACCAACTTGTGCTTTGAACAAGTAGCCAGACCTTGAACTTTTCTAACTGTAGCTCCAGAGATCACTATGAGGCTCAAGTAATGACATCAGTCATGACAGCTTTTCTTAAACGCTTGGTCGTCTTTGTGTGCATTAACTCAAAAGTTCATAACGATCCCGTGGAGGAAAGTCCTAAACCATCCCCATTTTACCTAAGGAGAAATTGGGGTACAGAGAAGCTCATTAACACAGTGAGAGAGTGTCAGGACTTGAACCCAAGCAGACTGACTTCATCATTGCATTTCCCCACTGTGCCATGTAGTGCCATTGGCTGGCACACTGAAGACACTGGGCACCGTCCCTGTCGCTCAGCAACTGCAAATTCACCAGGGCTATTTCTCATCTCTGTTGGCTCTGGGTGGCAATTCTGCAGGACTGGAGAAGCAGCCAGTGGATTGGGTCACTCTGCATCTACCCCTCATGTCCTCTGAGGCTCTGGATTGGTGTGTTTGGAGGAGGGTTCCTGGGAGGAGTGGGCAGGCCCTCCCCTTGGACTTTCCCCTTCTCTGCTTGCTGGGGGTGGCTTCTGTTAATGATCACCAGAGCAAAGGGTGCCCCAGGCACCCTTGGAGAGTTAGTCCTGTGTCCTTCCTCCCCTGGGGTCCCCCACCCCTGCCCACGGCCAACCATTTGATTGTGTCTGGCTGGACTGGCTGGAATGCTACCTGAGTTGGGTGGGTGAGGAGGTGGTGGGCCCCTGGCTGCCCCTTTGCTGCCTTGAGGATGAGCCTTGTAGGCCTGCAGGATCCAGAGTGGGAAAGCAGGACAAAATCTTGCTATTACTTGAGGTCAGGCCAGCACCGGAGGCTATGGAGAAACCTGGCCTGAGGGCCTACAGTGCTTTTTGGGAGAGTTCCAAATGGTTATATCTGAGTTACTGTCACGGACAACTAGTCTGAAGCACTAGGGCAGGGGCTGCTCATGAGAGCCACCGATGGCCAGGGGAGGAGGATGCCTCCTATTCGTTTAGTCTATTTGCAGGTGTTTCGAAATGTTGGCAAAGCTGTAGTCTCAAGGTACAGGGCTGTGAGTGACGACTGTACCTGCCCCATCAGCTTGAGATACAAAGCAAATAAATATCAGAAATGGCCAAACCAGGGCAGGTTGTCTCTGATTCCCACACTGTATCTCAGTGGGGAGGAGTTTGTGACCACACAAGGATCCCATTTCTGCTGCCTAGTATTCCAGAGGTGAGAAGCTGCTTTTAGAGTCAGAGGGACCTGGGTTCAAGTCCTTGCTCAGCCTTAATGTCATTCTGTGATCTTAAGCTACAAACTTGGTGAGCAATTTAGAGCCCCATTTCCTCATTTGCAAAACAGGATGAGGCCGAGGATGGTGATGATAATTAAGCCTGGCTTAATGGTAAACAGTGGCAAAGTCACACAATGGAATACTATACAGCTCCATAAAAGAACAAATGATGGATGCACCTCAATGTGAATGAATTGCAAAACCAAAATGGAATGAGAGAAATTAATCACAAAAGAGCACATACTGTGTGAGTGCACGTATATGAAATCCATGAGAAGGCAGA